CCCCGAGCACCCTTCCCTGCTCCGTGGGGCACCCCGAGCACCCTTCCCTGCTCCGTGGGGCACCCCCAGCACCCTTCCCTGCTCCGTGAGGCACCCCGAGCACCCTTCCCTGCTCCATGGGGCACCCTGAACACCCTTCCCTGCTCCGTGGGGCACCCCGAGCACCCTTCCCTGCTCCATGGGGCACCCTGAACACCCTTCCCTGCTCCGTGGGGCACCCCGAGCACCCTTCCCTGCTGGATGGGACCTATAGATGGGAAGGCCTCAAATCGGTGAGCACAGCATGCACACCCTTCCAGGCTGGCAGCTCCACTCCCAATCAGCTCGTTGGATGGTGGTTCCCTGACAGTGAGTGTCTCACATTTCTTTATGATACTGTGGTTCATCCTCACTGCTGCCAACCTTTCACACATGAGTCACAATGAGTTTTGAGACCGACTATCTTGTGGTCCATTATTTCACTTCAAAGAAACACAATCGACAGAGTCCTCTCTCATCCTCTCTGATGCACCAGTGCTGGTTTCAACTTGCTGGGCTCACTGGTGTTGCTAGGAGAGCTTCATTTGTTTCCATCCACACAGGTTTCACATTTTTTGATTTTTGTGTATCTAAAAACTTTTGTAATGACCCACGTATAAGTTTCTTTTTTTTTAGAGACAGTCTCCCTATGTTGCCCTCAGTAGAGTGCCGTGCGTCACAGCTCATAGGATCCTCAAACTCTTGGAGTTAAACGATTCTCTTGCCTCACTCTCCCAAGTAGCTGGGCATATAGGCGCCTACCACATACTTGGCTATTTTTTTGTTGCAGTTGTCATCGTTTAGCTGGCCCAGGCTGGGTTTGAACCTGCCAGCCTGGGTGTATGTGGCCGGTGCCTTAACCACTGACCTACAGGTGGTAAGCCATGACCACTGTATTACAATGCTCAGCCCTTCCTTTTGCATTTGGGGTAAGGCTCAATTGCTGGGACTCTGCATCACTGCTACATCTTCTAGGTGGGGTTTATCTTACGGTGGTCATCTCATTTACTGATGCTAGATCCCAAGTCTTGGGAGCCACTCTGTGTTTGTAAGTCCAGCTCAGGGCTCCCGTCATAACTGGATGAGATACCCGAAGACAAACCAGCAAGCTGAGGTCAAGGATCCTGGCTGGAGACTCACCCCATCTGCTCCTCTCCAGCAGTGTCCCCACTCACCCTGGGATGTGGGGTGTGACTGTGCAGAGAGAGAGAGGCCCAGGAAAGACACTAGTGCACAGAGATGCTTTGCCAACCCAACATGATGGCCTGACCAATGACCCCAGTGTATCATGATCTCATGTGGCTCTGCAGCCCACAACACTCATCTGGTCACCATGTGACCGCACCCTCCCACACCCTGCCATCCAAAAGGGTTACAACTAAAGTGCCTGCCCTCAGAGTGATAATTCCTCTACAGTGGCGTATGCCCTGACATCCTGAGACACCACCTCCCCCACCTCTCAGAAAACCTTGTCTTCCTACCCTTAGAAAACCATTTATCTCAAGAATTTTGTCAGTTCCATTCACAATTCACATGTTCTTTGCTTCTTGTACTTTTGTAAAAGACATATTGTATCAGGCTGGCCACAGACTATGGAATCAGAAACAGGACCCACAAATATGCTCATTTACAAAGCTGCCCTGGGAGACTTTAACATGCCAAGTGTGTGGACTGGACAACTTGCTCTGCTGTGTTACTGATCTGATTAGTCTCACAACAGTACATGTTTCAAATCCTGATGGGAAAAGTCGCCCTCCATACTTTCTCAAATGTTGCTTAGCTGTTCTCACATACCTATTTTTTGACACAATCTTTAAAATAATCAACTGAGTTCAAAAAAAGGGGGAAGAGTCATTGACATTTTTACTGGACTTACATAAAATTTACCAATTAAAATCACAGTGCATTTCTTTGTTGTGCCTTTATATTCTTTCCTTATGTATTATGTACATTCCTGGTTAAGTTTATTCCAAAGGAATGCAGTTTGGATACTTGTCCCCTCCACAACTCATGCTGAAATTTCATCCCTAGTGTTGGAGGTGGGGCTCGATGGAGTATTTGGGTCATGGGCACAGACCCTCACAAATGCCTTGGAGCCTTCCCAGGACAATGAGTGAGTGCATTCACATGAGAGCTGGTTGTTTTAAAGGGCCTAAAACAAACAATCAAAAAACAACAACAACAAAATAAAATACAAGAGCCTGGCACCCCTCCCCTCTTGTTCCTTCTCCACATACAACACGCCGGCTTCCACTTCACCCTGAAGCCTCCCCAGAAGCACATGCTGGCACGCTTCTTGTACACCCTACAGGAGCATGAGCCAAACAGGCCTTTTTACTTTATAAATTACTCACCTCAGATATTTCCATTATAGCAACTCAAAATGGACTAATGCATAAGTACTCTATAATTTTTGTTATAATTTTCTATGTTATATTTTACTTGTTATTTGTGATATATAAGAAATGTATAGATTTTTGCACATTTATCAACAATCAACTGAACTCATTAGTTCTTTTTCTTTTTCTTTTATAGACAGAGTCTCATTTGTGGCCCTGGGTCGAGTGCCATGGCATCACAGCAACCTCCAGTTGTTGGGCTCAAGTGATTCCCTTCCCTCAGCCTCCTGAGTAGCTGGGACTATAGGTGTCCGCTACATGTTGAGTGAAAAGCTTGGAATAGCGGGCCAACTCAACAATATACTGCAACTAGATTCGAATGCTGGTTGGAGCGTATTTGCCATAGGTTTGGTGGCTGGTGAAGCAGCCATACTCAGAAGGTCTTGGTGGCCAGGGGGCTGACATTGTGGGAAGGTTGGGAGAAGGTCTTAGCAGAGACTAAAACACAGCCATCCTAATTCTGAGAGCAGGGATCAGAACTCCACTCTTGGGACAGGCTGAGGGACTCCCACATCCCACAGGAACAGGAGTCAGGGGGCACTGTGAGACCGCTCCCTGAAGGATTCTTATAAGCTTTAAGATCCCAACCCAGCAGGGTCTCAATGCCGAGAAAACAATCAGGCAATCACTGAAGGCAACTAAGTTTGGAAAAAGGACCATAGAGATTGCTAGCTGTGTTTTCTATCTCCTAAAACAAAAACAAAAACAAAATAATGCCACCTGGTGTCCTGTCAACATATTGCAACACACTGTCATCAAAAGCAAGGACTTCTCTTTGAAACAAAAGAGGCAGTGAGAAGGAAAAAGGAGGACAAGTAGATGAATAAGAACAAACACATGAGGAGGAGCCAACAGAAAAATTCAGGCAACATGAAAAACCAAACAGAGCAACTCCCCCAAGAGGCCATGAGGCAGCTACTGCAGAAGACTCCATCTATAAAGAATTGGTGGACTTCACAGAAAGGAAATTTAAAATATGGATGATAAAGACAATAAAAGAAATGGATGAGAAAATGGAAAAACAGAACCAGAAGTTGGATGAGAGCTATGTAGAATATACAAAGGATATGGCAGAGCTTGCAGAAATGAAGGAGACAACTCGGGAAGGTAAAAATGCACTAGAAAGTACCAAAAAGTAGGCTAGACCATGGAGAAGAAAGAACTGCAGAGCTAGAGGATAACGTTTCTGAGTTAACCCAGGTAGTTAAAGGGGCAGAAAGGAAGAGAGAGAAAGCAGAACAGGCAGTTGGGGAACAATAAGACGCCGTGAAACATAAAACATATGAAGAACAGGGATCCCTGAAGGGGAAGAAAATTGTCCCAAAGAAATGGAAGCCCGACTGAGACTGTTAGAAATGAAAACTTTCCAAGTTTTACTAAAGACCCAACACACTGCTTTCAGATGGATATCGAACCCTGGTCATCTCAACTCAAACAGAGCCTCTCCAAGACACACTGTAATGAACCTGTCCAAACTCAAGATGAAGCAGAAAATTCTGCAAGCAGCCAGGAGTAAGTACTGAGTGACCTACAGAGGCAGAGCCATTAGGGTGACAGCAGACTTTTCAACCGAAACCTTCCACACCAGAAGAGCATGGTCATCCACCTTCAACATTCTTAACAATACAATTTTCAGCGCAGAATTCTGTATCCTGCTAAACTAAGCTTCAAAACTGATGGAGAAATCAAATCTTTTATGGATATACAAGCACTGAGGAAAAGTGCCACAAGACCAGCTCTATAGGAAATACTTAGGTCTCAACACTGATGACCAAATGTTTGCTTTGCAGATGGAACACCAGCAAAGCAAATACCCAGAAACTAAAGGACAAAACATAGCTTCCACAACGGAACAAAGGATAAAACTATGCAATGGATGTTCACAAAATAAGGTGAACAGAACTCCACCACACTTATCAATTCTGTGAATAAATGTCAATGGACTGAATTCACCACTGAAGAGGCACAGGCTGGCTGATTGGACAAAAAAGTGCAAGCCATCCATATGCTGTCTCCAGGAGACAAATGTAGCATTAAAGGATAAAACTCAGGGCTAAGGAGTAGAAAACAGTATTTCAAGCAAATGGAAATCAGAAGAAAGGAGGGTTTGCAATCTTATTTTCAGATACAAGCGGATTTAAAGCAAGTAATTTTAAGAATGACAAAGATGGACACTTTATACTAGTCAAAGGAATAATACAAGAACATATTTCAATTTTAAATATTTATGCACTGAACCTAAATGTTCCCAGATTTATGAAACATACCTTGATGGGTCTGAGCAATGTGATATCCCATACTACCATAATAGTCAAGGACTTGAACACCCCTCTGACAGAACTGGACAGATCCTCTAAATAGAAATTAATCAAAGATGCTAAGGACTTAAATGTGATTCTATGACAAATGGGATTAATAGACATATACAGAACACACCATCCCAAAGCTAAGGAATATACATTTTTCTTGTCAGCCAATGGAATGTACTCAAAAATTGGCCACATCCTAAGATACAAATCAAACTTCAGCAAAATTAAAAGAATAGAAATTATACCTTGTATCTTCTCAAACCACAAGTCAATAAAGTTGGAATTCAACTCCAACAGAAACATTCATCCCACATAAAGACTCAGAAACTAAACAGGCTTATGCTGACTGATAGTTGGGTTCAGGAAGAGATAAAAGAGGAAATCATTAAATTCCTCAAACATGACAACAATGAAAACACAAGTTACCAAAACTTATGGGATACAGCAAAAGCAATCTTAAGTGGGAAATTTATCTGATTAGATGCTTACATTCAAAACACAGAAAAAGAACACATCAACAAACTCATGAATCATCTTATGGAACTGGAAAAAGAAGAATATAATTCCAAAGCCAGCAGAAGAAAAGAAATAACTGAAGTTAAATAAGAGATTAATGAAATTGAAAACAAAAGAATCATTCAGATAATGAATGAAACAAAAAGTTGGGTTTTTGAAAAAATAAATAAAATCGATAAACCTTGGGTCAGATTAACTACAAACAGAAAAGTAAAATCTCTAATAAACTCAATCAGAAACAGTAAAGGGGAAATAACAACAGATGCCACAGAGATATGAGAGCTCACCTGTGAGTATTATAAGAAACCCTCTGCCCAGAAATTTAACAATGTGGAGTTCAATACCTGGAGTCACACCCTCTCCCTAGACTTAAAGAAGGAATACATCTTTTGAACAGATTGAGTTCAAGAACTGAGATCAAAGAAACAATAAAAAATCTCCCATACCACCAACAAAAAAAGCCCTGGTCCAGATAGCTTAACACCAGAATTCTATTAAACTTTCAAAGAAGAGCTTATACCTGTATTGCAGAAATTATTCCAAAAAACTGAGAAGGAAGGAATCTTCCACAAAACATTCTACAAAGCAAACATGACCCTGATACCAAAACCAGGAAAAAACCCAACTAAAAAGGAGAACTTCAGACCAATTTCACTAATGAAAATAGACGCAAAAATTCTCAATAAAATCCTAGCCAATAGATTACAGCTTCTCATTAAAAAATTCATACATCACGATGAAGTAGGTTTCATCCCAGGGATACAAAGCTGGTTTAACATATGCAAGTCCATAAATGTAACTAACCATATCAACAGAAGCAAAAACAAAAACCGTATGATCCTCTCAATAGATGAAGAAAAAGCATTTGGTAAAATCCAGCATCCTTTTCTAATTAGAACACTTAAGAATTTAAGAATAGGTGGCACATTTCTGAATCTGATCAAAGCCATCTATGACAAACTCACAGCTAATATTATACTGAATAGAATAAAACTGAAAGCATTTCCACTTAGAGCTGGAACCAGACAAGGTTGTCCTCTATCACCGCTACTATTCAGCAAGGTGCTGGAAGTTCTAGACAATACAGCAGGCAAGAGAAGGAAATAAAGGACATCCAAACGGGGGCAGAGGAGATCAAATTCTCACTCTTTCCTAAAGATATGATCTTATACTTAGAGAACCACAAGACTCTTGGAAGTGATCAAAAAATACAGTAATGTCTCGGTATAAAATCAATGTCCACACATCATGGCACCTGTAGCTCAGTGGTTAGGGTGCCGGCCACATGCACCAGGGTTGGTGGATTTGAACCTGGCCAGGGCCTGCTAAACATCAATAACAAACAAACAAAAAAAACAGCCAGCCATTGTGGCAGGCGCCTGTAGTCCTAGCTACTTGTAAAGCGAAGCAAGAGAACTGCTTAAGCCCAAGAGTTTGAGGTTGCTGTGAGCTGTGATGCCATTATCACTTCACTGGGGGCAATATAGTGAAACTCTGTATTAAAAAAAAAAATCAATGTTCAGAAATCAGTCGCCTTTGTATATGCCATTAACAGCCAAGATGAGAAGTTAATCAAGGACACAATTCCCTTCACAGTAGCTTCAAAAAAAATAATAATAAACAAATACCTCGGAATATGCATAACAAAAGAAGGGAAAGACCTCTACAAAGAAAATTATGAAACCCTAAAAAAAGAAAAAAACAGAAGATATTAACATGTGGAAGAATATACCATGCTCATGGCTGGGAAGAATCAACATTATGAAAATGTCTATAAAGCAATCTACAAAGCAATCTACAAAGCATACGTCTACAAAGCAATCTAAAGATTCAATGCAATCTCCATTAAAATACCATCATCATACTTTAAAGATCTGGAAAAAAATAATTCTTCATTTTGAATGGAAAAAGAAGAAACCCTGTATAGCTAAGGCAATTCTTAGTAATAAAAACAAAGTCTAGGATATCACCCTACCAGACTTTCAGCTATACTACAAGGCCATAGTGATCAACACAGCATGGTATTGGCACAAAAAGCGAGGCATTGACATTTGGAACTGAATAGAAAACTATAAGATGAAACTAACTTCTTACAGCCACCTGATCTTTGATAAACCAAACAAGAACATACACTGGGGAAAAGAATCCCTATTCAATAAATGGTGCTGGGAGGACTGGACATCCACATGTAAAAGACCAAAACTGGACCCGTACCTCTCACCACCTACAAAATTGATTCAAGATGGATAAAAGGTTTAAATCTAAGGTATGAAACAATAAAAATCCTCCAAGAAAGTGAGGGGAAAACACTTGAAGATATCCGCCTGGGGAAAGATTCTCTGAAGATTTCTGCGGCACTTGCAACATCGATAACAAAAACAAACAAATGGGACTTATTTAAACTGAAAAGCTGTACAGCTAAGGAAACAACCAAACCAAACAACCCTCAGAATGTGAAAAGATATTTAAATATTACAAATTGGACAAAAGCCTAATAACTAGGATCTATAGACAACTCAAATTAATTAACAAAAAGATCCAACAATCTCATAAATCACTGGGCAAGAGAGATGAATAGAACCTCCTCTAAAGAAGACAGATGAATGGCTAACATATGAAAAAATGCTCATCACCCCTAATTATCAGAGAAATGCAAATCAAAACCACCCTGAGATATCATCTAACCCCAGTGAGAAGGGCCCACATCACAAAGTCTCAGAGCTACAGAAGCTGGTGTGGTTGTGGGGAGTAGTGAACTCTTTTACACTGCCGGTGGGACCACAAACTAACACAACCATTTTGGAAGGAGTATGAAGAATCCTCAAAGAACTCAAACTAGACCTCCCATTTGATCCCATAATCCCATTACTAGGCATCAACTCAAAAGAAAAAAAAATCCTTTTACCATAGGACATTTGTACTAGACTGTTTATTGCAGCTCAATTTACAAACATCAAAATGTGGAAACAACGTATATGCCCAGCGACCCAGGAACGGATGAACAAGCTGTGGTATATGTACCCATAGAATACTGCTCAGACATTAAAGAGAGGGAGACTCTACATCTTCTGTACTAACCTGGATGGAGCTGGAACACATTCTTCTCAGTAAAGCATCACAAGAATGGAGAAGCAAGAATTCAGTGTGCTCTATTCTAATATGAAGGTATTCTAATAATCAGTAAATGAGCTAATATAATGGGGGTAGAGGAATTAGCAAGTGGGGAGAAGGGAAGGGGGAATGGAGGTCACGGTATACGGCACAACTCTTGGGAGCTGGACACAATTACAAGAGGGACTTTATCTAACAAATGTAGTCAGTGTAACCTGATTCTTTATAGCCTCAATGAATCCCAAACAATAAAAAAATAATAATTTTTTTTAAAGTCAGTAACAAAAATAGAATAAAATAAAGTGTCACTGAAGGCCCTTCAGGACCCGCTTACCTCTCCAATCTCACTTCCCTAACACCCCTCACCCAACCTTCCCTGCAGCCACTAACTCTCCAAACACATGGACAACGTGCTTCCTCCCTCCACGTAGTGCTGGTTAAGCTGCTTCCCGTCTTAAATGTCCTACTTCTCGGCAACCTTTGAGACACAGCTCAAAAGTCACCTTGTCCTGAAAGCTTTCCTTGACACTACCCCCCACCGACCCTCAAGGCTACATTAAGGGCCATTAAATAAATGCGTAGAACAGTGCACTGAATGGATTTCCTTCTCTCTCTCCCACAGGACACGTGCTGCCTACAGGCAGGAGCTCTGCTTCTCTCACACCTGCATCCACAGTGCCTAGGCATGAGTGTTTATTGCATGGATTTACTCTCTACTTTTCATTGACCAAAGACATATATAACCACTGAGAAAACTAAAACAAATGCTATTGTAATAACAGATAAAATTCAAACAGTAACCTTGCCATTCTAGTTTCTTTGCACTTGAAAGAACTCTGAAAACAGTGATTGTTTAGTCCTTCACATTCTGCTGAGGGTCTGGAACTACAACGGCAGAAACAGTCGTTCCCCATGGCGTGCAGCTGGCAAGAGTGGGCATCTCTGTGCCTGTCTGGCACACAGTGGCTTCCTAATGAGTGTTTGTTAAGCAAATTTCAAACTCAAGTATAAAAACTGAGCCAGTCTTAGGTAGACAGCTCATTCTTTCTTTTCTCTTTCCAGTCAGTATTGTCTGTGCCATCACTCACCATGCTGATTATACTCCCAGCCAAACTTCCTGGAGTCATGAAGCGCCTGTCCTAAGAGGGCAGCTTGATGCATCAGCTTCTTAGGGATACAGCCTACATTCACACAGGTGCCACCAAGACCTGAGAAGGAAAGAGTTTTCATGTTTCCTGGGAGGGGCGGGGGTAGTCTCACACACCTGCGCAGTGGTACTATAATCAAACACATGGAAATGACAAGCTTGAATGTGGTAGGGACAACACCTCATCCCAAAATAAGACATAAGTGATTAATCCAAAATTTCTTTCTTTCTTTTTTTTGAGACAACAACGCCTGGCTATTTTTTTAGAGACAGGGTCTCGCTCTTGCTCGGGCTGGTCTCAAACCTGTGAGTTCAGGCAATCCACCCACCTCAGCCTCCCAGAGTGCTGGGATTAGAGGGTGTGAGCCACTGCACCTGGCCTAATCCAAAATTTCTAACCAAGGAGTCGTGAAGGAGATCCAAGAATGAGCAAAAATATAGTCGTAAAAAGTTCTCTGGGGACACAGTCCAAAACTCTCACTTGAATCTGATACACAGAGGGATCAGAACTATATCAGATTAATTATATCTGTCCTATACCAAGGACAGCATCTCAGCTCCCAAGCCTGGCTTCTCTATAACTCTGACTCCATCAACGACCCAACAGTTGCATCTACTTTGAATCTTGAACAAACAAAAGAGATCGTGCAAAACGATGTACTCTTCTGCAGGACAGGAGGCAAAGTTCCCTCCTCTCTTGTAGTCTCTTCTCCTATGCCAGATAAGTAGGATTATTTAGGGACAGAAAGGGAGGAGAGGAGAAAAAGAGAGGAGATGGCAGGAGGAGGGCAAAAAGGACCAGTGCACACACATAAGAATGTTAAAAGAAAAGTCAAGGCAGATCATAGCTTTGGTGTAAAATTCTAGGCTACAACCTTCTGAGAAGTTTGAATTTTAAAAAATGATTTTCATATTTTATCAGTCGGGTCTCTGGCAGGAAAAAAAAGACATACTCAAGCCAGGTAACTGAGGAGAGTTTATAAAGACATTGCTACAAAGTGTGGGTAGGAGATCAAACAGGGATGGGGCAGTCAGGGGAGCAAGGATACGGAGAGAGTACCCCCACCTCAGGAAGCCTGCCATGCACCCCAGCAGACGAGACCCCAACTCCGTTCCCCTCACTCCCTCTGCTCTCCACCACCCTAACCAGCCAACCCTCACCAGAAGGAGTTGGCGAGGCTGCCAAGTGACCCATCTGTTGGGGCACAGTGCAGGGCAGAGACAGAGAGGGAATGCATTTGAAGCCACAAAAAGAGAACATCCAGCACAAAATGTCTTCTATTTTATTATAAAAAAACATAACAAGGAGAGCCTGTCCACAGCAGAGTCACAGGCTAGGGCCCCACTGGGTTCCTTACTAAATTAAAGTGTAATGACTACACACACTGAATCAACTATTATGCAGCCATTAAAGCTGTGTAGCCACTAAAGCTCCCATGGTAAAACTGATACAGAAACACAGAAAGATGTTATGGCAAACTTAGAGACCACAACACACACAGTACATATACTGTAAACACAAAACTATGTGACAACATTAGCACACATATGTAAAAAACTACGACAGAAGTCCTAGAATATTAAGCTCATGATATATATATATATTTTTTTTTTCTTTTGCAAAGTCTTCCTTAATAATTTTTCTATTATCTTTCGAATGTCATCACTTGTTCACTAGAACCTAAGACTAGGTATCCTCATCTATGAAACAGGCTAGTTATACCTCTTGAGATCACTGAGGGTATAATGAGAGTGAACAGCAGAGAACAAAGAGCAGGGGCTTACCCCAGGACGTGCCCTGAGGGGACGGCACCACAAAGTCCAGCACCATGACCTTCTTCCCCAAAATGGCAGCTTCCTACAAAAAAAGCCACGTATAAAGATCTTGTTGTTTTTCTGACATTTCCCCATTTTTCTCTCCCCAAATGAAAACACTGTTTCTATGTGAAAACACAAGTCTCTTCCCAGAATTAAACCAGCTATTAAAATAAAAGCTTAGATTGTAACATGATGACTATTTTTGAGCAGCAGAAGTGCTTATAGTGATCACCAGGAAAACCGTCCACAAGTCTCACTTCCCTGTTCACACCTTTGCACATGCAAGGCCGCCAGAGCCTCCACCAATGACAATGAGGTCATAATCATATGCTGAGTCTTCCTGAAGGAGCTTCTGTAGCAAACCATTCTGATGTGCCTATGGTTTAAGGAAAGGAGAAAGAATACTGCATTACTCAAAGTTTCAAAACTGTTTAATTGCATGCTATGTTCAATCAGTATGATGTTGTCCATGAAAAAATCATAGAAACAATTAATACATAATTCACCTAAGTTGGAATTGTAAATTTATTTGTCCCTTCTGACCAATCACCTGACAGACAACTAGGCATGTGTCAAATAACCCAAAGGGTCATGGATTTGTATCTATGTCAGGTGAACCATTTTTCTTGGTTTAATCATCCAAATATTATAATCAGGTACAATGAAATAACTATCATTTTTTAAGATCATTTTGGAAATAACTTTTGTGTGCCATCAACAAATTTTTCTCATGGTTACTCATAAATTGCCCTAAGTTTTGTAGCTGGAATGGGCAACTACCCGTGCAACACAAACATCTTGCTTTTTCGTACAGCAATGGTTGAGAGGCTGGCTCTGTGCCATATTCTCTGTTCATTGGGCCCTCCTGGAGATTAGGAGTAGTTTAGGTGAAGTGAGAAGTTTGATGCAACATTTGGCAACAGTTCTCCACAAAGCCAATGGCTCACCCCACCAGCCTGGCTTTAGAAACACGGGGCTCACTCCCTGGGAGGGGCCCACCCTGGAAGCCCCAGTGGTGCTTCATAACCATGAGGAGTCACCAAATACCACAGGGCCCACCAAAGAAGGCTTGAATGTGCTCAAGAAGGCTTCTGGCACAATCTACAAAGCACTCCTTGGCCTCCTTATTTGCAGATGCCTTTAGGGAAATCCGTCTCACAAGAATCTGCCATCCAAGGAAATATCTTTCAGTCTGGAAATAGAATTGCTACCTCTGTATGTCTAGATTCATTGTCTGACATCACTTTTCAGGTTAGGACTGGTGAGATCAGCACTTCAGAAACTATTTAGAAGCAATGATGATAGAACTCAGCCAGCCAGGTACCTTCCAAGACTGATAAAGTAGGCTGTTATTATACAGCAATGATGATCACAGATTAACATACAATCTTCTTTCCCCACAAAAATACCCTTAATTAAAATCTCAAATATAAGTATTTAATCAATCACTGATTATTAATACTACATACATATAAAAAGGATACAAGTGAGAATTTTAATGTAAGTAAATAACTATAAAATAAGTATCTATTTAATAAACATCCATTTTTATCTATCACTGCCTGACGAGTCTTACTTACTTCCAGCATTCTAGGAATCAAAACATCCAAAGCTACCTTTGCAAAGCACCCCAGGGAGCAGCCTTGGCAGGAATTCTAATGATCCTGGACAAGAATGTTAGAGTTGACCTCATTTCACTGAGGGAATAGCCCTCATTTCTCTTCTCATCAGGAGGAAAAGCCCTGGAATAACCCCAGGATGGCCTGCCTGTGTGGCCTCGTACCTTCACTCAAAAGCCTTATTCTTAGCTTCTGCAGTTCAGTGGTGGAAACTCCAATCTTCCTTACAGTAATCAAGATTATCTGATAACTGTATCTCCACTTTACAACTTCCAAAAGACAAATGAACAGACTTCTAAAAATCTTTTTTTCTCTTGTTAAGTGCTTTTTAAAATAAAATTTAAACAAAAAATATTAACATATAATTCTGTTCTTACTACCTGGAAAGTTCGGTCACATCCACCCACGTGTACTTTATTCACAAAAATATTGGGCACGGTTTTCTGATTAGAGATTTCTGACAGTACTTCTTGAACATTGGCCCCATCATCTAAGAATTAAAAAAAAAAATGAAAACATTGAAAAAGGTTGCAGTTCTTGATGAGCTGAAGTATCACAACACCCAAACAGGTTCATAAAAGGTCACTGTGTCATATAATTTTATGTAACAATGACTCATGAGGAGAAAACAGCCACAATTTCAAATAAACCTTAAAAAATGAAGATCAATCTACTTATTTATTTCAAAATACAAAGAAAATTTTATTTGTGTTATCAAAGACTCTAAGAAATGATGACATAATATGGTTAACAGAGTTGATGGCAAGATACTGACTTAATTTAAAATAAACACTTCTAAATTAGATTTTGATATATAAATGACTATGGCAAGACAAATAGGTTAAGAACCTCCTTAAAGAGAAAAACATCAAGATAAAATCTGCTGCAACAGTAACTCAGAAAATACTTCCTACTATTATATTAGGAAAATCTTTATGATTTAAAGTCTAAAATATATTCTTCATCCCTAAAAATCAAAGTAAGCCAGGCGACTTAAGACTACCTTATCTCTAAGACTACCTACATATTCTCCAAGATTCAAGAGCATTTCACTTATTCAGGCAACTTGGTTAAATGAGTCAGTGAAGTCCCATAAAGGCAGAGGTCAGGTTTTCTGTTTGCCGCCCTGTAAAGCACTCATGTGAAGCCCTCAGTTAGGGTTAGACTGCAAGGGTGCCAGACTGAAAGGTAAAGCTAAAACCTAGCACGCTCTCCTTGTGGACAGCATGACCCGGAAACAGGAGCAGATCCTCTCCATTTATTACGGCTTAATTCATTTGACCAGAGAGATACATATGAAATGCCTCAAGTTCTTCAAATGAGTAACTTGTTTCTTTTCATTCCCTTCTCTTAAATACGGAAAACATATAAATAAAAAAAAAAAAAACTTACACCAACTTATCGGTCATAGGAGCGTTCATTTTCTGCATGATTGATATAGGCAAAAACGGTTCATCTAACCCAGAGACAAGAGCCATTTGAGTTGAACAAAGTAAATGAAAAGAAGTCAGTCTTGTTGGCATTTATCACAAGTAACAGTGTGCAGGGACTATTCTACTTACCAATTTGATCAAGTTCCAAGATGTTACATCCAATTCCCAAAGAAGAAAAGAGTTCTTTAACCTGTAACAAAAATTACCTAAGTTTCATTCTCACAAGATTCAACAGTTACGGGCCTGGCACTGCAGCTCACACTGTAGTCCTAGAACTCTGGGAGGCTGAGGCTGGAGGATCGTTTGAGCCCAGGAGTTTCAGGTCACTGTGAGCTGTGATGACGCCACAGCATTCCAGCCTGGGCAACCAAGTGAGACTTTGTCTCGATAAAAAATACGAAACAAACAACAAAAAAAGCTTCATTCAACTGGTATGAATACAGACACAGTAAGATATCCAAAGGGAGAGTTCTTTAGGAACATGAGTGCTTTCCCCTTTCTTCAACACATTTCCCAGAATAATTTCAGCCCAGCCTCGCCTTGTTCTTTCACTCTCTCCTTATGACTCCCAAATCTACAACTTTTTCCCAAACGTCTTTTCTGAACTCAGACAGGCAGCAGACATTTTCCCACCTGGATATCCCACAAGCACTTCACAGACCACGTGCCCACCATGCCCCTCCTCTTCTTCCGCGTACTTGTTCCTCTTTCTGTGCTTCCTTTTAACAGTCATTAAATCATTCTACTAATTTTTATCCACCAAATACCTTGAATGGGTCAACTGCTATTCTAAGTACTCAAGATACAACAACAAACAAGATGAAGTCACTGCCCTCGGATAGGGGAACAGTCAAACAGGAAACTCCAGCACCTGCTACTGAACGGGGGACAGGAGCCGCACAGCAGCCCTGAGCAGTGTGCAGACTCCAGAATCAGACCCGAAGCAGCACCTGCATTTTTAACAACTCTGCCAAACTTTCATGGGGAATAATTTCAATGCCAAAATGCTGCCCTCCCACACTTACTCCCGTCCACCCAGTGACAGAGCTTAAGGCCCAGCAATTCTGTGCTGAACTGGCTGATCTTTCCTAGTTCCCCTGAGTAGCATCTTAATTTGAGCCATAAACACTGACTGCTGGAAATTCTTAGTGACATCCCAAGAAAGCTCTCTACATCAGCTTTGTTCCTTCTAGTCATCAAAATTGCGGCCAAAGAGGTCTTTTAGAACCTACTTTTGACCACATTATTTAAAACCTTTTAGTGTCCTTAGCCCTCAAGATAAAACTCAGAGGTTCTACTTCCAAAACAGAATCCTGAGCAGATCCTCCACCCTGGTGAAACCTCGCAACTGGGGAAAAGTACAGCAGAACCTGCCTAGCCAGTCACCTCCCCACGCTGACCACCTCCTCAAGGGACCTAATTCTCACATACCAGACATGCGCCACATGTAGGTATACACTGACCAGTTCAGTGGTCAACTTACAGAAGTTCTACTGTATTTTTAAACAACCATTAAGTCTTTGAAAAGTTTCTAAGAACATATAGCAAATGAAAAAAAAAAATTACTCAAGAAAATCTACTAAATCTCAGTAAGAACCGGGAGAGGCTATGGCACTTGTGCTCCAGTCTGCTGCCTCCTCCCCTGCCCTAGAACAAGCAGCTGATGGAAGCTCTACTCCAAGTGAGTGTGGCCCAGAACACCAGGCTCCCTCGCCCTATCTCCAGTTAGGAGAGGCAGGCTCACACCAGAACCGCAGGTACCAGCAAAGCTCCCCTCCCCGCCCGCCCTCTTGGTGCAGAGGGACCTTCTAGACCGCAAAAGCTCTACCACAGTACCATGGGGATGCTGGGGTTCTGATAAACCTCGCCCTGTCCACGTGTAGGGTGACCAGGTGCAGTTCTAGGCTGGAATCAGCAAGCCAAGAGGATCAGCGGCTACCATCCCACTCCCTCACAGAGCCCAGAAGTGTCACTTGGAGAGAAGCAAGTCATTGTCCCACCCTCAGCTCTGGAGCAAGGGATCAGAGGTTTTGCCTGGTACAAATCATAAGATCAGAGAGCTCTGGAGCTGATTTTATTTGAAACAGATTGTGGAGAAGTTCAACTATACAGCCACTCGGGTAAACAACAGAGATGTCATGGTAAGCAATTGAGAAGGCTGGTTACCCCCTTAAAGCAACACATGAACCACAGGCCAGTTTGGTCCCTCTAGAGTAGTGGTTCTCAACCTTCCTAATGCCGCAATATATTTTCACTGTTACAAAAGGGTCGCGACCCACAGGTTGAGAACCGCTGGTGAAGTGAGGGAGAAAGACAGGTAAGAATAGCCTTCCCGGTTTCAAAATAAACTTTAAAGACTTCCCTCAGTGAAGAGGCCCCAGATAAAACCACCTCTGTGAAGAAGCCCCAGATAAAACTGGATCAAAGTGTGGAACAATTTATGTGCAAGACGTTGTCAAAACCAACACAGACAGGAGAGCAACCAGCCCGCGATTAGCAAAGCCACATGCAGGTGTGAACACGGGCAGAGGCAAGCACCGCTGTTCAGGATCCAGAGTTGCTCTAATATATAATCTAAAATGTCCACTGTCAACAAAAAATTAGCAGACATACAGAAGAACAGGAAACTAATTTATACACAAGAAAATGGGAAACAGAGACTGCCTCTCAGAGGGCTTAGATGTCATAGTTAACAGACAAAGTAGCCATTATAGGTATGTTCAAAGAACTAAAGGAAGCTGCTTAAGAAGATTAATAATAGTGAAGAAACAGAAATTACTGAGTTGAAAAGTACAATAACTAAAACGAAAAATTCACTAGAGTAGCTCAACATTAGATCTGAACTGGCAGAAGAATCAGGGAACTTAAGCATAGATCCACAGAGATTATACAATCTGAACACACAGGGAAAAGGGAAAAACCCTGAAAGCAATAGGAGAAAAATGTTTCTTCGTATACAAGGGAATAAAAATAAGAATAAGAATAAAAGTGAACTTTTCATCAAAAGCAACGTCAGCCAAAAAACAACTGGGATAAAATATTCAAATTGTGGAAGATAAAAAAAAAAACATTAACCAAGAATCTTATACCTTGCACAGCTAAACTTTCAGAAATGATGAGACAGTGATGCCAGCAAGTCGGGGGACCAGGAAGCTCCAAGAACTCCACTCTCCACAGAAATACTGATAAAGTACAAGTTGACCAGAATTATCTTATAGAAACTCAGAAAATTGGTCAAATATCTATAGCAACCAAACAAATGCTACATCAAGAAAAAGCCCCATCTAAAATGGAAGAACCTTTTGTAGCATCCTTTCCGGCCCTTGCCCCACCTGCTCCTGATGTTGCACAGTGTGGGACTGGGGGAAGCTCTAGCCACGGCCCCAGTTCCTTTCCACAAAACAGAGATCAAACTACAAAATTCTAACGTTCAGCAAATGCTAAATAGAAGGAAACCGCATTAAAGTCATATATGAAAACCCGCAGCTGACACTGTACATGATGAGGAAAGAGTGAAAGCATTTGCTCTAAGATCTGGAAGCAGACGACGGTGCCTGCTTTCACCACGTCTATATAAAGTTGTACTGCAAGTCCGAGGCAGAGCAATATAGCAAGAAAAAGAAACAAAAAGCATACAAACTGGAAAAGAAGTAAAATTATCTCTTCACAGACAACATGATCTCATAAGTGGAAAACCTAAAGATTTTCACACACCAAAACTGTTAGAATAAACAAATTTAGCAAAGTTGCAGGATACAAAATCAATACACAAAACTCAGCCCATGTTCATGGACTATAAGACTTTATATTGTTAAGATGTCAATAGTACTCAAGGCATTCTATAGATTCAACGCAATCCTTAACCAAAATTCGAATTATCTTTTTTGTAGAAATAGAAAAATCCATCCTAAAATTCATATGGAATCTCAAGGGACACTGAATAGCTAAAATAATCTTGAAAAAGAGGAACAAATTTGGAGATGATACACTTCCTGATTTCAAAACTTACTATGATATTATAGTCATCAAAATAGTGCTGCAGTACCGGCATAAGGACAGATAGATAGACCAATGGAACAGAATACGAAGCCTAGAAACATGGCTCGGTGCCTGTAGCTCAGCAGCTAGGGCACCAAGCCACATACTTCAGAGCTGGTGGGTTTGAACCCAGCCTGGGCCTGCCAAACAACAATGACAACTACAATCGAAAAATACCTGGGCTTTGTGGCAGGTGTCTGTGGTCCCAGCTACTTGACAGGCTGAGACAAGAGAATGGCTTAAACCCAAGAGTTGAAGGTTGCTCTGAGCCGTGACGCCTCTGCCTCAAAAAAAAGGCCAGGCAGAGCCTTTTGTTCAGTGGGTAAGGAGCCAGCCCCATATACCAATGGTGGCGAGTTCAAACCCAGCCCCGGCCAAACTGCAACAAAAAATAGCCAGGCATTCTGGCGGGTGCCTGTAGTCCCAGCTACTCGGGAGGCTGAGGCAAGATAATCGCCTAAGCCCAGGAGTTGGAAGTTGCTGTGAGCTGTGACATCATGGTACTCTACCAAGGGCAATAAAGTGAAATTGTCTCAAAAAAAAAAGAAAAAAAAGAAAGACCAACAAATATATGAGAATCTGATAAACAATAAATGAATGTTTAAAGTAGTGTGGTAGGGATGGGCTCTCTAATAAACAGAAATAACTGATAAGTCACAAAGAAGAAAACAAAATGGACCCCACTCCTATCACCAACATCATTTCCAGGTGGATTTAAAGACGGTCGGTATGAAAATAAACCATAAAACTTTCAGGGGCTAAAACAGGAAAATATCTTTACGGCCTTGGGACAGAAAAAGATTTCCTAAATAAGACACAGAAAGCACAAACCATAAAAAGAATGATAGATGCAACTACATTAAACTTATAAGTTACAGTTAACCAAAAGATCCCCAAAAAAGAAAGGGAAAAAAAGCCAAATCTAGATTTCCTACTACACTAAATCTTCAAATCATGCCATTATCTTCAATATCATTTAGTTATTACATTGATGAGAAAAAAAAATCGATTCCCAGCCATTGCCACTGTCAAGTGGAGTCGTCCGCGTGGGATCATTCCAGGCACTTGTTTTCGCCCACATCCCACAGATGTGCACATCAGGTTAATTAGCCCAGTCTGAGTGTGTGTGTCCTATGATGGAATGGTGTTCTGGCCAGGGCTGGTTCTCATCTTGTGCCCTGGGCTACTGGCTGGCACAGGCTCCAGGCACCTCCAGCCGTGATCTGGAATAAGTGGGTTAGAAAATGAATGAATAGGGAGGTGCCCATAGCTCAGTGGGTAGGACACCAGCCACATACACCCAGGCTGGCGGGTTCAAACCCAGCCCAGGCCAGGGCCAGCTAAAATCAACAATGAGAACTGCAACCAAAAAATAGCTGGGCGTTGTGGCGAGCACCTGTAGTCCTAGCTTCTTGGGAGGCTGAGGCAAGAGAATCACTTAAGCCCAAGAGTTTGAGGTTGCTGTGAGCTGTGATATCACAGCACTCTACTGAAGGTGACAAAATGAGACTCTGCCTCAAAAAAAAAAAAAGGAATGAATGATACAAACTATTGTCAAAAAAATTTCATAAAGTAAACAATGATCCTTCAGATGCATGACAATAACTAGTGTGGTACCAAAGCACACAGCATTCTTTGTGAACTGCTCAGTGATGGGAGGTGTGCCTCACAATTTCCAATCTGTAAACACGTATTCCTTAATTTCACCCACCACCACTAGGCTGCCACCACTCACTGATTCACCAAAAATTGGGAAATAATTACCTTCTTTGTTTTTATTGATCTTTCTTAGATGCATGTATAGCTCACATTTATTTCAACATTCACTATCATAAAATAATAAAAACCAACAACCACAAAAAACTCCCCCCAAACAAAACCCAAAATGGCCCACTTAAAAGTGAACATTTGGGAGATAACTCACAGATAAGACTGGGACTTTTGATTATTTTAAAATTTACTTCCCATTATGTAAAGTTGAAATAATACATGAAAGACAACAAGTAAAAGCATGAACTGTTGGGTTAGGTGGCTAAGATTTTATTACACACATACATATCGTAAGTGTTTGGGGGCTTTCTTTAGAAGGCTAATGATATTTTTGTGACCAGAAATACAACATAGGAACTTAACTCCTATTTCTATCATTTAGCCTGTGGGAAAACTCGTTTCATTATATGTCATTTCAGGTAGAGTCTCAGTTTCCAAGAACCTATAGCCAATGTTAAGTGAGGACTTACTGTATACAAAACCAAAGGATTCATATCCAAAATATATGAAGAAGACCTACAAATTAGTACAAAAATATAAAAACGACTCAACACAAAAATAAGCAAAAGATCTGAACATTTCACGGAAGAGGAAACCCAAGTGTCCATAAACACATGAACCTGGTCTGGGAAATGCAAAAAACTAAAGCCACAGTGAAAAACCATTTCATAATTGCCAGAAAAAAAAAATTGCCAAGGATGTGGAGCAGGAAGAACTGTTAAAAGCTAGCAGGAGGGTAAACTGGTATAACCTCTTGGAAAAAGAGCTGAGCATTGTGGAGCTCAGGTAGAAATCAGCGTCCCTTCTGCCCCCGTAACTTAGCTGCAAGGTATCTACCCCAGACTGTAAGTCCCGCTAAGTGCACAGGGAAGCACAGAGCTGGACTGTTTTTAAAAGCAAAATACCAGGAAGAGCAGAATGATAAACTGTGGTATGATTCACCATAGGGAATACTACAGCAATGAAAATTAATGAACCACAGCTATATCTACAAACATGCACGAACCAGTAAAACATAACTGCTGAGGAAAAAGAACCTGAAGATTTTATTAAAGTCCCAAAACAGGCCAAAAGAAACAAAATATTGTTTAATGATATGTCATTAGTGAAAATGTAAGGAAGACTAAGGGATTCTGGATAGCAGATGATCTGAGAGGAAGAAGACATCTGTGCTATTATTACTTTATTACTACTTAAAACGAATATATATGATACGTGTTTAAAAAAATTATATATATGTCGATGTAAACTTCAAATAAAAATGAAAAACTTAAGCCTATAATTTCATGAACCTACCCCAACAGTTCATGCTTTAACTTGTCTGTCAAGTAATTATTTCAACTTTACATAATAGGAAGTAAATTTTAAAATAATCAAAAGTCCCTGTCTTACCTTTGAGTTATCTTCCAAACGTTCACTTTCAAGGGGGCCATTTTTGGCTTTGTTTGGGGGGAGTTTTTGGTGGTTGTTGGTTTTTCTGTTTCTGTTTTGCTTGGAGACAGGGTCTGGCTACTGCCCAGGCTGGATGGAGCGCAGTGGTTATCACAGCGCACTGTAACCGTGAAGTCCTGGGCTCAAGTGCAAGGCACGGTGCCTGGTTCATTGATGGTATTTCTGCAGAGAGGAGGTCTCGCTCGGTTCCTCAGGGCCTGGCCTCAAGCCATCTTCCCGCCTCAGCCTCTCAAAGTGCTGGGATTGCAAGCGTGAGCCACCGCACCGGCCTGGTGGGTTATTTTTAAACGCAGAAAACACGTATATACAGAAATAATGCTTGCTTCCTAGCTACCCGCCAAAGTTAGGGACCTGAAATTACCTCGTACGATCCTGACAATCTTCCTTTACCTTCGTTTTACAAGATGTGGCAACCAAAGCTCGGCAGAGTAACCGAGTCACTCGGTTAAGTGGGACTTAAATCCAGCTTCTACCCGACTCCAAAGTCGTCACCTCTCCTCGCACCACCCCTTCGCCACGCCAAAACTTTTCAAATCTTTTTCCTGTCTTGATAAGCTTTTTAAACAAGCCTACATCAGGTTAAAAGGCCTTGATAAGCTTTTTAAACAAGCCTACGTCAGGTTAAAAGGCCTCGATAAGCTTTTTAAACAAGCCTACATCAGGTTAAAAGGCCGCGGGGAGGGCGAGCGGTGAACCCCCGCGCGCGGGCCACGACCGGGCGGCCGCGCACCCCCAGCGCGCCAGCGCCAACCGCGCGCGCCCCAGGCGCGAAGGACAGCGGCCTCTCTGGGCTCCTGTCGCCGTCCTCGCACCCCGGGGTCGCGGCCAGGGGTCCGGGGGAGGATTGGGAGGGAGGACAGGCAGGGCCCCGGCCCAGTCGCCCTCTCGCGGCTCCGGCCCCGCCCCGCCTACCCGCGTGCTGTAAGGACAGTAGCTCTTGCTGAAGATCATCACCCGGTTGCCTTCGATGAGGCCCATGAGGCGGCGCCGCACCTCCTCCCGGTCCTCGGGCGGGCGGCTGGTCCCGGGGGACGACAGGCGGGTGCGGCGCCCGGGAGGCGACGACATGGGCACGCCGCGGACGCTGCCCAGGGGGCGGTTGGGGACGACGCCCACATTCCCCAGCCTCGGCGACTTTGGCGCCGGCGGCGGTGACTTTGACGCCGGCGGCGGCGACGACGACGGCTGCTGCTCCAGGGTTCCGCTCGCCCTCCCAGCCAGGCCTGGTCTGCCCCGAAACCGTAACCGGAGGTCTGGGACCGCGAACACGCCCAACTCTGCCCCCGCCCCGTACCGGCCCGGAGTCCGCGGGGCTGCCGCTCGCCCCAGCTCCGCCCCCATGGCCCCGCCCCGCCCCGCGGCGCCACCCCGCCCCGCCCCGCCCCGCGGCCCCGCCCCGCGCATGCGAACTAGGTCGCCTGCGCGCCCGCGGCGCGAGTTCCCTACCTAGCAGAGCGCCGCAGGTACCCGTTCTCAAACTGGGCGTCTAGAGGCGGTGTGTGCGTCCAGGACCACCCCGGTCTCGGTGATGCGCTCAGAGACGGCCTTTGTACGATACCTTGCGCTCTAACAATCACAGCCCCCTCAAACCACCTTAAAATCTGTAGTCTTCAGGGAGGACAGACGTCTCCAGTTTATGAGGAGTGTGAATAAAACTATCTTTAGGAAAGTTTACATATCACACATGCTGAATAAAAATACTGCGTTTCCTATCTCAGTGTAGTTCTAAGGCAATCCGAGGTTGCTACCCCTCATTTCCCTACTAAAGTTCCAGAGCCACGTCTGTCCCTGCCTACCTCTCCGTTATTGTCTCCTGACCCTCTAAGCTTCAGCTATGATAGTTTCCTGTTAAAATCTGTATTCTAATTAAGGCCTTAAAGAAGCACAGGCTCTGGAACCAGACAGCCCGGTTTTGAATCCTAGCTCCACTTTTCTCTAGTTGATTATCTTAGGCAATACTTAGACTAATAACAGTCCTTGCCTTAAAGCCTTGGTGTAAATTATAAATGCATTAATTGAGGTCAAGTGCTTAGGACAGCATTTGGCCTGTGGTAAGGGTTAAATGAATTTGTGGATAAAATCTCATTACTTACCCCTCCTGACAGCCCTGTAAAAATAGAGATTATTGTTTCTGTCTCACAGATGAGAAAAGTTAAGGAAGAGAAACAGAACATAATTTTTGTCCAAAGTTATATACCTAGTATGAAGAACTGAGATCTAAATCCTGGCTCACTAGCCACTGGCAGTGATACTTTTTCCAGCATTAACATTGTACACAATTTTATTCTTTTGGTAGATTTTAAGAGTAGGAAGAAAGTAGAATTGCCATTACTTCATCGTCTTTAACTACATGTTCTTTTTCTTTTTAATCCATGATAAATGCATTTTATGAATTTTTCTCTAAATGCTTCTTTGGCTACCCATAGCATTTTGATCCTTGAATTTCATTGTCGTGTATTTCTACAAAATGTTTAATTTCTAAATTAAAAATTTTAAATAATTTTTTAAAAATTTCTAAGTTAAAAATTTTAAATCATTTTTTAAAAGTTAAATTGGGGCACAGCGGTTCATGCCTGTAATCTCAGCACTTTGGGAGGCTAGAGCAGGAAGAATGCTTGAATCCAAGAGTTGGAGGCTGCACTCCAGCCTAGCCAACAGGGCAAGACTTTGTCTTTAGAAAATTTATTTAATTAATTTGCTTTAATTTTCTCTTTAATGGAAAAGTTACTTAGGAGGTATATGTTGACACTTCCAAATGGATAGCTTACTTTTTTGTCACTGTTGATGGTGGTCTTTATTGTGAATTTTCAAACGTCATAGACCAAAAACATGGCTTCTTCATTTCTGCTTGTTGCAATTTATGAAGATCTTCTTCATAATTTAACAGCAATTATTATTTCTGCCAATAATTCTTAACTAAAAAGAATGTGCATTTTCAGCATATTGTATACAAAGTAGAAGCTTGAAATTGTGTAATCCACATTGAACTCTGACATAGTTCTTTTTCCTTGATATGTCAATTTCTAAGACAGATGTATTAAAAACCTGCCACTTTGATGATGGATTTCTCAATCATCCCATCATTCACTCATGAGTTTTGGACAATGAGCTTAGCTCCCTGAGATTTGTTCTACTACTCCTATACTGCACCATTTCCAAGTGTTTGGCATATTGCTGAGTCTCCTCATACCACAAAGAGCCATGATGGTCTCAGATAATTAAGGAATGCCTTCCCTTTGCTCCAATTTATTTCAGAATTGTTTGAGCCAACCAGTATCTCTCATTCTGCATTGACTGGTTCGGGCCTGGTCACATGGCCTAAGTTCATCCATGAAAAAGGTAGCTTAGATTTTTTTTTTTTTTTTTTTTGATAGCTGAAGAGAGAGAGATTCCTCAGTCTACATGCTAATGGGGAAATATCTGATCCCAGATTAGGGTGACCAGATTTTAACATCTGTAAGGAGGGACAACATGGCTGGGGGGCGGAGCAGGGGCGGAGGGGGGGGGGGCGGAGGGCAGGGCCTGACCAGGCAAACTTTGATAAGCAGTTCTCGATAATCACTTCTCAGCAATTATTTATTACGTTTAACATTATAAAATTAACAAAAATAATATAAAACTCATATTCTGGCGAAATAGCCATATGGCGGCTGAAAACCGTATATTCCCTTCTTGTTCTCCAGCCCATTCGTGCATTCTTTCCAAAAATTGGGACTTTTTTAAAACACCACGGACGCGGGACAAACTGTTGAAAAGCGGGACTGTCCCGCCAAAATCGGGATGTCTGGTCACCCTATCCCAGATGCTACTAGCAATCATCCTCTAATTATGAGAACAGAATTCCCACCATGAAATTATTGTCCTGAAAGCAAGGATGAGAGAAAGCTAGAAACTGGGACGGTCACTGAGCCACTGGAGCTGACCCCATCTGAAAGCTGCCTGGTCTCTGCACTATTGTGGTCCAGTGAAGTCCTTGATTTAAGCCAACTTAAGTTGTATTTTCTATTATTTGCAATCAAATCCTCTTAATGAAGAAACTTATTTCAAAGACGCAGAAAAACTAATAACTCATCATTTCTTAATGAATTATACCTTTTATCATAAAATATTCTTTTTTGCCCTAGTTATCTCCTTCATCATTAAATTATATTTTTTCTAGAATTTATGCATAACAAACTGCTACAAAACTTAGTAGTTTGAAAAAAGTAGGGGAAAAAAGGTCAAATCTACTTTCTTTTGTTGGCATTTGTACCTGTGTCTTTTTCCATCCATTTCAGTATATATTTGTCTTTTTCTTCTATATATGTCTTTAGGAGAGGATGTGGCCTAGTCAACTCTTATCTCTAATAAATTCTTAATTAATTGAAGACAGATACAAGAAGTCAGTTAATAGAGCCAAGAAAACACTGCAAAGGAAGTAGATTAGTTGTTGCCTTGGGCTAGAGGAGTAGAACAAGAAAATAGGGAAGGGGGATTGGGAGTGATGGCTAAGGGCGTGGGGTTCATTTTTTGATAAAAATGTTCTGAAATTAGGGCCAGGCATGGAGGCTCACACCTGTAATTCCAGCACACTGGAAGGCCGAGGCAGGTAGATTGCCTGAGCTCACCAGTTTGAGAACAGCCTGAGCCAGAGTGACACCTTGTATCTAAAAATAACTGGGCATTGTGATAGGCGCCTGTAGTCCCAGCTCCTAGGGAGGCTGAGGCAAGAGAATCACTTCCACCCAAGAGTTTGAAGTTGCTGTGAGCTATGATGCCCCAGCACTTTATCAAGGGCAACAAAGTGAGACTCTGCCTCAAAGAGGAAAAAAAAAACAGAAAGAAAAGAAAATGTTCTGAAGTTGATGCACGACTCTGTGAATATACTAAAAGTCATATGAATCATACATTTTTAAGTAGGTGAATTGTATGGTATGTGAATTATATCTTAAAGCTGTTAGAAAAGAAGATATTAAAAAGATACTGGCTCGGCGCCTATAGCTCAACCGGCTAAGGCGCCAGCCACGTACACCTAAGGTGGCGGGTTCGAACCCCCAGCCCGGACTCGCCAAACAACAATGACGGCTGCAACCAAAAAATAGCCGGGCATTGTGGCGGGCGCCTGTAGTCCCAGCTACTTGGGAGGCGGAGGCAGGAGAGTCGCTTGAGCCCAGGAGTTGGAGGTTGCTGTGAGCTGTAATGCCACGGCACTCTACCCAGGGGGACAGCTGGAGGCTGTGTCTCAAAAAAAAAAAAAAAAAAAAATACTGAATAAACAAGAGGCTATAAAAAAGAAGGAATCCTTATAAATTTGAAGTATTTTTGCCAAAAGTTATGTATTATATTACATTGTTTATAATTAATTATATATTACTTAAATCTTAAAGTACTTAAATCTTAAAAATAAATATACATAGGTATATGTACATACACATCTGTATATGTCTATGCCTGGGTATAAGAAAATTTCTCATGATGTGGGACAACAAAGTAAAAAAGGCAAAAAGTATGAAAGTGTAGATGAGAAAACAAGAAAGTCAGTCCATGAGGTTGAAATGTCTAGTAGGACAAAGTAGAGAAAATGGATGGAAATAGTAAAATAATAATAACAGAAGACAATTTTCCAGAACACAGATCTTCATTTTTAAAAGGACACCCAAATGCCCAGCATAATGAATAAAAAGGACCCATGTGACACCATCACAAAATTCCAGAATATCAAGGATTAGTGGAAATATCTACAAGCTTCCCAAATGGGTGGATGCAGAGGAGGTAACATTTTGGCATCAGTTGCTTCATCAGTAACTCTGGGTGCCAGAAGAAAATGGAATAATGTCTCCAAATTTATGAGGGAAAATAATTTTGAACTTAAATACCTAGAATGTTAAAGGAAAAATAAAGATATTTTCAGATATGGAAGGACTCTCAGTTGACTTTTCACACATTTCAGGACCTCATTTGATACTTCCCTCCACCAAAATGAAGAAGTACCCTTCCAGGAAGGGCTCCAGGAAGAACAAGTGAAATAAATGAAAGTCCTTGTGTGACAGCCAAACAGCAGTCTTAGTGATCCATCCACGAAGGGGGAAAATGTTAGGAAAAAACAGACATAGAACAACCTCTACACAGTAGTCTCTCAGCTCTTACTGGGATCAGTTCTCCAGGCTGAGCCAAATCTCAGCTGATTCCCTATGTCCATAAAATTACCTACTGGTGGCCCAGTACTTCTGAGACCAAGGTAGGATGATTTGAGACCAGGTGTTCAAGACTAGCCTGGGCAATAAGCCAAGACCCT